GCTTCTCTACATTATTCATCATGTAAACACAGCTTTATTGACCCACCGCCGGCGACCCTGCGCGTTACGGTATCGAAAATGTCGCGGATGTTTTCAATTTCTCCAGGTTGATGAGAATATACGTCCACCAATAGCAGCGAGGGAAGGGCACGATCCCCGGTGGTCAGGATCTTTTGCAGCACGATGTCAGGGAAGAAGACATTCCGAAGAGTAAGATGGGTCACGGAAGACAAGACCTGGAGGACGAGCTCTGAGAGTTCAATACACATGTTGGCATCTGCGGGAGAAAAGCGGTCCGGGGGTGCGACGAGAGAGAACGACCTCAACGCCGGGTAGTGGAGGGATATATGCAAGTTGTCGAAGAAGGCCTTGAGTTGGTTGTTATGAGCGCCGTTCAAGGTTACGCTCTCAACACCAGACATGTTGAGTAACGGCCAGACGGGTGGAGATATCCAGCCCTTCCGAATCGATGTCGAGAACGAGCGGACCGAGGGTAGAAGGATCGGGTGCCCCATGGTCTGGCGCTCCAAAAGCTCATTGGATACCGATAAATGGGTAAGGTTCGAAAGACCAGTTAAGAGCTCACGCAGGTCGAAAAAGGTTACACGACAAGAAGAAGTGTGTGTGAGGTCCAGTGTTGTCACCGAGACAGGAGACTTGGGGACGTATAGATGCGTCCCGAAAAGATGGAGTTGGAGGGTATGGAGGCAGGGATATCCTGCCATGAAGATGTCGAAATATTCCATCTGTATGGTCGGGGTATCGCGGTCGTTCCAGTCATCGCTGATCCTCAGAAGCTCCAACCGCGGCGCATACGCGTCGCGGAACGGAAGGAGCGATGCTACCATGATAGGACGAGAAATAGACTGAACCCGCAGCTCACGGAGGCGGTCGATATGGCTAATGAGATGGATCGAGTGGGCTTCAAGGTCGTCGGCTTGACGCCAAGTCGAGAGGGTGACGCTTATGAGATATGGCTCAGAACGCTGGAGGCACTTTTCAAAGAGCTGGGCCGGAATCAGTTTGCGATTGACACGGGTTTGAATGCTGGTCCAAAGTTGCGGCGTGCTGACGGCGACCTCGCGAAATCGTCGCGAGACATGAGAAACGACAATTTCTAGGGGAAGTGGAGGAGGACGAGGTTTAGGTCGGGCGCGAACCTCAGACGAATTCATCGTGTGGATCGTGCGAGGTGCAGCCCGAGGAACGCCTTCAATTGGGGGGGTCGGTCCTGGTCTCTCAGGCAAAAGAGAGGCGGTCTGGCTCTGAAGAAGGATCTCGGCCAGAATTTCTGTTGGAAGAGAATGAAGGCTGGAGATATAGTAAGTGACGGCCCCAAGGTCGAAATACTAGAAGAGACTCTACCTGGGTATGTCGGATTCAGCCATAGCCAACACAATACGCCTCGTTATTGGGAATCCGTGTTTTTGGGACGGAACAATCCGGGCGGCCCGCACACAGGCATCACCAAAACCGGGAAAACCTTGTGATGCCCGGTGAATGCCGCCATCGTTTTAAAGGTTTGCAATGTGATCACAATGATTCTAATGGGTTGGCAATGCAGATACAATCGTTCTGAACAGTAGGCAATGTATGGAAATCCTGGCAGACCATGTGTACCTTGCAAGGGATAGTATTTGGTACAGAAATGTCGACAACAATACTGCAAGTACTGGAGCAGTAAATATCCCTGGACCTCGATTCCCATGAACTTTAATCGGCCACCTTCAAAATCGATATCCTCTCAAGCTGTTATATGTCTAGCGTTCGTCGTCCGACGTCAGACGCAGTGCTACTGAGGGCCCGAGAACGCCTAAATTATCGACTGAAAGAATTAGCAAATTAAAGGTGTTTCCCGCAACCCACGAAATGCAGTGAGTGTATACAGGCCCCAGGGATGGTGACGCCGGCTGCCAGTGCAAGGTGGGACGACATTTGATGGCAAGTGTATCCATGCGAGGTCCGTGCGCAGAAGGCGTGCTCGAACAAACAAGACCAATGTTGGTCGCGATCACGCGCACCCTTTTCGTTCTCCTTCTCTTCTCCCCCCCATCTCCTGCCTTAGCTGTCTCTCACCACTGCCCCAAATTCCCAAGAGCTCTCCTTCCATTTCCCCTAGATTCTATTGGTCCTCCGTCGCCGAGCGGGCACCACCAAATTCTCACATCAAGCTCGTCTTTCAAGACCACCGTAGCTTCCCTTGCTGCAATCGTTCACCCCGGTACACATACTGCAGCTCAAGTCTGGTCGTCAAGCCGTCTGGTTAATTCTCGGCCACGTGCAAGGATACCTCAAATTCCTGAATCAAGCCTGGTGTCGACGTCGTCATCTCTGAACTCTTGCAAGATCATTTTTCGTCCTCTACATCGCGCGAAGACCTTCATTTCTCTGTTTCACTCACGGAAATGAACAGAATCACCTCTTATCAAGCTCGTCTTCAAGTCTGCTTGCACCGTTCAGACAAATGCTTCGTCCTATCTCACGCACATCAAATTCTCCGACCTCAAACCCCCAAACAGTCCAAGTCTCCGTCTCCAGACGTCCTTATGTATGTCCGCCCACCCGTCTGGAATCATGCTAGGATTAATTGTAACTGGGTTCCTGCTCTGCTCTGCTATATCCCTGCTCTAATTCACTATATTCCTCAACACCTGAGGCTCTCTCTCGTACATCTCTTATCCTCGCATTCCCAGTCTGTATCTCACGCCATCTAATTTATTTTTGTCTCCAACTTGTTTTTTATGCGAAGGGCGTTTACAATGACAATAACTGAGTGGAAGCCAGACAAATTGGCCGATGTGTATGTGTTTCTGGCATCCATACGAGCATTGCAATCCATCGTAATGGCCGCCAGCATTGCCATTTATCACAATATTCTGTACATTCCGGAACTGCTAAGCCTTTGCAAGGTCAGGTGAAAAATTCAGAATGATTTTGCTGATTGCCTAGATTGCGGTGCATTTTGCCCATTGCAATTCTAGGCAATTATCTCCCGGTTTTCGTGATGGGCGCCAACTAACAAGCAACCATCCCTATCACATCTTTTTCTATCTTCAACCACAACTACGATCATGCCTAATGTCGACCTGCAACCAACACCACTGCCACCAAACCCCTTCAGCGTCGACTCGCACGCATCTGCATACAATGTCTGTGTGCAGCTCTAGAATAGAGAGAAATGAGGTGTGTTCGTTGACGACCTAGTCCGCAACGACGCACCCCAGACAATGTTTGACATGGGTCCCGTTCTCGCCGGGCGTGTCCTCGGCTATGCTCTCATCTACGCACCTAACAGTGGTGGTCGAGATGCGCTCGCACGCGATATAAACTGTTGCGACAACAACGACGAATTTTTAGCGGGGCTGGCGTTTCTCTATATTATGGTCTTATACGCATTTGTCGGTATTTTTCTTTCTTTAATTTCCTCCTTCTTCAATGGATACAGTCCGAAATCCGAAAGGTGCGCCTCCAGCAGTTTCGGCGGACTCTGAAAGTCCTCGGATCGCTCGATGCCGCTGGTGACCAACCTCGAGAAAATTACGCACCTCCTGGCCGGATCCCACATATTCTCAAGGAGCAGGTAGACCTCAATATGCTTTTCTGTATGTGACTCGAATTCATGGTTGCCAGATACTGTTTCGCGATCAATTCACATGCGCTTTTTCGCATGTAATCGACCGGGATTCATTCGAGAAAGGAATCGCGACTCGACACGCAGACACACTCGGTTTCGGAAACGTACAGGTAGCGCATATAATCAGCCAACCCCTAACGGATGGAATTGGGGGTATGTCCGAAGCTGCTAAAGAGAAGGTTAGTGCCATGTTCTCGGTTCTAGTGTTCACACTTCAAACCCGGGACTAGCATAACTGGGCCTCCTGTGCCTCCGCTATCCTGGATGGGTTCGCTGGCATCGAAATCAGACCCCTCGATTTGCACAATCCCATGAACGTTTTGTTGGCAGGACTTGAACCCCACATGAATTTTGGTAGACAGTGCATGTGGCTTTCAGCTGTGAAGGTATGCACATAATTCTGTCGTATTTGGGTCTTACTTGTAATGTTCTAGGATGAGACCGGCAATGTAGTGCCAGAGACGTACAATGTCTGTCTTCGAAAAGAACTCGACAGGTGCATTGGCATGCGCGAACAGATCACCTTCCAAGCCCGCATGTACAAGGGCGAGATGATACTTCCGCCCAGCGCTGACCTTTTGCAGCTGCACGCCTCTTGCGCTCACATTGCACATCTGTCTGGGGCGGCTGGCGTGCTGGACGAGTACGAGCGAGAGACCTCCGCTTTCAAATCGATGTCAACGAGTGATCTTTGCGCCGATGTGAACACCTTTGCTGCTGATGAACTACATCGTGCCTTGCGTCGGGTTCAAGTCGAATTAAAAAAATCTTGCCACGTCAATTCAATGCTGTGCGACGAAGTGACTCCACCAAACAGTAGGCTCACGGGCAGACAAGTCATCCCGACCCTCCGCCGGGAATTACACCGAGAGCGGTTTCAAACAGAACAAAAAAGATGCCAGTGGGACTAATGTTGCCCACGACTCAAGTCGGCCAATTCAATTTATCGCAAATAACATCTGACTGAAGAGTATAACTCCAATGATTATATATGAAGTATGTAGGGTCATAATGGGTGTATAACATACACCAAGGGTTCCTGCTGATACCGCACCGTTCGTGAGAAATATTGGATTTATTGATTGACTCGAGTTGAGTTGAGTCGAGTCAAGGTAAACAATGATTTGGGAATTTCTCCACAACCAAACATCCAATTGCCAAGGCGTTTGGATATATTATGGACCTATATGAGCTCTCTTTATTGGCTATGAGATATCTACCTTTCGGGGGTAAACAATGTGGCTATACGCAAAGTTTGATTTGATCGACTTGAGTCGTGGGCAACATTAGGTGGGACGAGGCTGACGCGAACCGCTAAAGCGGAAACTCTATCCCGGGGCGAGAATTTAATCACAGTAACCCTATGCGCCTCCCGAAGGATTCGAACCCTCTATCTCTCGATAATGAACAACGCCGTGCTCGGAGAGGGATATACCGCTGAACCATAGAGGCGCGGACTACATCCGTCGTCTGAAATAGCCTCGACGTGTGATATACAAGAGGCAAGAGGAAGAGGCAAGAAGGAAAGAAAGAATTGACCCAAAAAAGATGCCTGGTGGGAGAGAGTATCGCGCCGACCGGTTAAGCGCACTCGACTCCGTGGCGAGCAGTTGTCATTCGTCCTCGGCTCTAGGAACCTGGACTGGCGAGATCCAGGCCCTTAATCGGTCCAACTCTCAGCAGCCTTGTTCTCTCTCAAACCCTCGATCCCCAATATTGAACATCGCCGTGCTCGGGGGGAGATTAACCGCTGAACCATGGGGCACGAAATGTGTTGTGAATAGGCACAATATAGGACCATGGCTGTATTTAGATGCAAGTCTGGTGTATACAACGCCTAAAACACACCATTTTGGGCGGATGCCCAGCGTCACACGAGGCAACTGAGATTCCATTTAGGCTGGATATTTCTGATCTGTGGGCATCCCTCGCCCGGTAATCGTGTAAGAGTCGAGGGAAACATCGAACTTTGCTGTGATTTAAAACACCGAATTTAACTGGTTGCACACGACCAGCTGTAACGAACCTGCGTCGAATGTCACGGATTCCGTTTTAGGCTCTATATTTCTGATCTGTGCCGCAATGGGGAAAGAATGATGATGGCGCGTATGCAAAACGCAGTGCTGGATAAGATTGATTGGTCTCCTAGCAAAAAGCCTACTAAATGCCCATACCGATTCGATAGTCCGGGACAATACTTCTCGGGTTAGTGTCTCAACCGATTTCATCACTTTTTAGCGCTCTGACGCTTGGTCCCAGAATTGCGCGTTCTAGAGCGCATACGCAAGATTCAACTCGCCAAGACTCCAGAGAAACCAACAAGAAATACGGACGTGAACACCACTAGGATACTTGTCCCAATGCCGCCGCCTTGTGTCTCCTCCGGCCAGGAAAGTGGCAATAGTGAATACGACCAGCTGGACTCGGACTCCGACGACGAGAACAGCACGCCCCGGGCTCTTCTACCTCCTGCACCCGTGCTTCCGACAGTCTGGGAAACTCGCTCTGCGAGCTCAAGAAGACCGTGAGAGAAGCCAAACCGTCGTGACCGCCCCAGACAGCGAGGACACCCCCCCGGTATAGCCAACTCGCTGACTCTCTGGAGAATCACTGATCAATACTTTCTGCAAGGCATCGTCTTTCAGCGTCGATTCGCAAGCGGTAGTTGACCGACTCTACGTCAATGGCAACCTTTCCCGCGAGTCCGCTCTTGAACGGATTTGCTTTGACTGTAAACGAATCATCTTTCATGCATACTTCTTTGACTGAGAATCTCCAAAGCCCGTTCCGAGCGCCAACTTGTCCGATCTCCTGAAGCAGCGCACTCCCCGGCTTGCGACGTCACCGCGGGTCCCGCAGAGCCCGAGGACTCTGAAAGACGGTGCCCTGGGCCATCCAGTTTCTTTGATCGTCCCTCGTATCCATTCGGCATCGTCAAGTTCGTCAAAACCGTTCCTTTCAATATCCTTCCTCCTCCATGTTCTTTTGTTTGTTTTGTTTTTTTGGTGTGAATATATCCTAGGCTACGCTCCTTTTTGTTTCGGCATTTATATTGTGTTCCTTCATTTATCTATACCGTTATGACAATCTATCACCCTCGACAAGCCCCAATACCTCCCGGGGAGTTGAGATTTTTGTCGATTTCTCCATCGCGGATGATCCGCGGTGGCGGTGTAACGTCTAATATGCTTGGCATCCACGCTCAATCCACGCTGCTCTTGCCACTCTCAGACTCAGACTCTGTTCGGTCCTACGATGAAGTACGCCCTTTGTCCTCAATTATTCTCGGTCTTCCTGTTGTCTTCTATCCTCTCAAGCTCAAGCGACCCCATTCTGTAAGCCCCCGTACTCCTCAAGCCCAAAGGCCACACCGGCGTTTTGTGCCTCCTAGCCTCCTCTTTCGCTGCGTGCTTGGTTACGTTTCTAGTCTTGTGTCCCCTCCGACCCTCATCGTGTCTACCATCGGTCGCAGAGAACAAGCACTACTGGCACAGAATCAGGATCAGGTAACAATAGAGAATCCCGCACCCATAATCAGCCGGGATCTCTATCAATGAGTAGCTCTATACATAGTCTCCTTCGCGTCGGCGCCGCTTGTCGCGCTCGCTCGCGGCGGAGTTGTGTACCGGAGTCTGCTGGTTGACGAACGACGCTGATTTGGGAGGTTAACAACTGGCTGAATGCATCCCTCGACGTACGGTCTCTTCTCGACACATTACTCGTGATGCGTGGCACTAAGCCATTGCCGGCTCGGCGAATGCAAATACGCGTGAGCCCAGCAAGAGTCTCAGACGGTAGTTGCTGGTCTAACCCATGTAAAACTCAACGAGAGTCGTCAACTTAAAGCTGTCAAGGCTGCCCTCGCATTTACCATTCGTCCCGGTCTCCTAGCTCAACCATACACCTATGCATTATTTTCTTCTTTGCACACTGTTTTGCTTTGCGATAGCCAACAGACTCGACCCTTCCAGCCCCACCTTCGACCTCGTCTGCCTGTGGCAGTGGTTTCGCACAATGCCCCTGCAGAGGCGCTGCTCCGCCGCCGATCGAGTGGACGGATTAGTAATAAAAATATATGATTTGTCGCAGCTTGCTGCAGGGTGGTCTGCGTCTTGTCCGAGTTGAAGACTCGGGGATGGAGGGACAAGGAGTTTTTTTCTTCTTTCTATTTGTAGAGCGGCGTCGGGGTCGGATTCTTACTTGATTCCACGTCTGAGCTGTGGCTGTGTATCTAGTATTTCCCGACGACGTCGATGCCATTACTTGGGCCAAGCGGGGCGCTTCCTCTGCACTCCTCAGCGGTGCGGGAGAAGGAACAGCTCCTGCGCTCGAACAACCCCGGCTGGTTCCAGCCCGTTCTTGTTCCCATTCCGGGCGTGCGCAACCGCCGTCTTCGCGTCCTCCTTCCCTCCGTTCGTCTGCGCCGACAACGGGGCCCGCTTCTCGTATGCTTTGCATGCATGGCAGTCGTGCTCACCGTTGTGCTCGTCTCTCGAAGCTTCGGTAGAACAGACTGGGAGCCATGGCCCCCAAACTCGCCGGAGGAGCCTTCGACACTCGTCTTTCGCCGCGAAGACCTCCAACGGATATGGGGCTGGGAGATTGCAAGCGGACACTTCCCGAGTAGACACAGTAGTGCGTGCTTTGCGGTTATCGCCTCAGCCTTGCTCTAACATTTTGGCCCAGTCCCAAAACAAATCGGGCTGTCTCAACCGCCTCTTAACCCAGCGCTGCCTTCCAAGCCACGGAAGATCGTCCCCTCGCGGTACAGGCCCCCGTCCACCGTCGTCGTCAGCACAGACACAGATACCCTCGGTGTGGGCCCAAAACGATTGTATCTCGACATCCAGAGCACCCCTCCCCATGTCTCATACCCCCCGCGGCCCGTCCCTGGAAGTGTCGCGGACTTGGATGTCGTAATGAAGCACTGCGATTTCTCGCAGGGAAAGGTGCCGTGCACTCTTTTTAATTTTGCTATTTTGTCTAATAATATCGGCCAGTACGTACGTGACTGTCTTGAAGTACTGCGGGTAGGCGCCGGACTCGACAACGGCCAACGGACGCGGCGGGGTGCCATTGATGATTGGAGGTACATCTATACAGAGGAAGCCAATTCCACAACATCCGAGTCTCCGCAAGAGGATCCCCTCCAACCCCCAATATACCGCCCCGCCGTCGCCGCCGAAGTCGGCCAGCGAAACAACGACCCCGATGCTGGACTCGCACCAAAACACGGCGCTAAATGGGAGTCCGCCGTTTCACTCCCGCCACCACTGACCCACCGCCCTGCCGCATCCCTCCCGGAGCCATGCGACCCCGAAAACCCGCGTGTGTTCCACATGTTCTGGACCGGGCCCTTCACCGACAAACCCTATCTTGCGCTCCTCTCCTTCCTCTTCACCCAAAACACGGGCCTCCACGAGGCGCACGACGCGCCCGCGCCCAAGGTCTGCCGCCCGCAGTTCTGGATGTGGATCAACCCGGGACCCGCGGCGGCGATACCCAACCCGAACGCCATGCACGATATGTTCTCGCAGCTGAAACAGAGCCCCTGGGCGTCGCCTTTCCTGCACCCGCGCTTCAAGGATGTCATCCGCTTCCGCCTGTGGAACACGACAGAGCAGCTCGACGGCGTCCCGGAAATCCGCAACGAGTGGCGCGAGCTCCGCGAGACGCTCTTCAACTCTGGGGGGCAAGTTATTAGCGTGCCCGAGGAGGAAGAGCAGGAGGAAGCGGAAACCGTGGCCGACGACGCGAACGCTACTGTCGCGGCGCACCCCGCGAAAACGACGGACGCGGGGGACATGCTCCATCGCACAGGTTCAAAGTCCTCGGACGAGTACGACCGGCTCTCCGTAATCCTCTCAGATATGGCGCGCTTCGTGCTGTGCCACCGCTTCGGCGGTGTGTACATCGACGCGGACACGCTCCTGCTGCGCGACTGGGAAGAGCTCTTCGGCTGGAAGGGTGCATTCGCATACCGCTGGTCCCGGCTCGAGAAGTACAACACCGCCGTGTTGCGTATGCACCGCGGCTCAGCGCTGGGAACGTTCCTCTTCCGCACGGCGCTCCGCAACGGGCTCGATTTCCATCCTGTGTGTCTTTTCTCATGCTGTCTGCCATGAACTCACGCCTGGCGGCTTACAGATGACGGTCTCACGATACACCGCGGACGCGCACCTCGAGGGCCTACTCCTACGGCTACCCGACGCGCTGTTCGACGGCGCCTGGCTCAACACCGAGTTCTACCAGCAGGACCGCCCGCCACAGCCTTATTTCACCGAGTGCGTCGTCTCTGCTTTTTTCCGACAAGGTCTGATACCCCCTAGATTCGGTGACTTCTTCGACACCCCCGAGCAGGACAGTGCCGCGCCGCAGGCACTCGGCTTTGACGGATTCTTCAAGGGCTCGTATTCGTATCATTTCCATAATTTCTGGTATGTATGCACTGC